GGCTAGAGTGCAGTGGCATTAGCCTAGCTCACAGCAACCTTAACCTCCTGGACTCAAGCGATCCTCCTGCCTCAGCCTCCCGAGTAGCTGGGACTACAGGCATGTGCCACCACACCTGGCTAATTTTTTAATTTTTAGTAGAGATGGGGTCTTGCTCTTGCTCAGGCTGGTCTCGAACTCCTGAGCTCAAGCAATCCTCTGGCCTCTGCCTCCCAGAGTGCTAGGATTACAGGTGTTGAGCCACCACATCCTGCCTAGTCAGGAGTTTTAGATGTCCTTTATTGCACTAGGTAGTTTTGTCACGTTGGGAAAGGAATTAATGTTAATCCAGTGTCTATCACATTTTATGAACTGTATTGCGCATTTAATGTTCTTCCATTTACTCCTTCTAACAGTCCTATGAGGAAGGTAGTGTTAGGCCCATTTTATAAATAAGAAAATTGTGATTTTTCTTTTTTAGTATATTCTCAAAGGTAGTAGAGAATGGACTGTTCCAATAAAGAACAGTCAGAAAATTGTAATTCTAATGGTTGAGTAACTCGTCCAAAGTCATTCAGTCAGAAAGTGAAGTAACCAGAAGTCGACCCAAATTCTGTCTGACTCTAGAACTCATTATCTTTTCCACTTATCAGGTAATAACATGGCTCTAATTAATTTATGACTTTAAAAAGAAAAGCCTGACCAAATAAAATAGTTCTCAGTGTTTATTAGTTGAACATTGACATGAAATTCACAATATATAAACTGTGGCTTTTAATTATCATCCAACGTTAACAAAGAAAATAATGCTTTTGCCTTTACATGCTTTTTAAAAGTAGTTAACATAAAACTCTTGTGACCATTTCCATTTTCAAGTGCTACTACTTAGAATAAAAATATTACCTTCACAATGAAATGAATTCCTATGGAGCCCTGAGATCTGATCCGAGTCCTGATGTGTTTGAACTTCTCTTGAACCAGGCATGCTATTAAAAAAAATTTGTTTTTTCATTATTTATGTTCTTCTTCTGAGCATTTTATAAAAAAAAATCCTCAAATAAATGGATTCCAATTATAAATGGGATTTTAAATTACAAGCACACCATCAACTTGTCCATTTTTTAATGTACATTGAAAACATCTGTGAAACTGGGCTTGCGAGTCTAAGATAAGAGAGATCCCTGTTTCCTGTATAGAGTCTTACACTTCAAAAAGGACCTCACTCAATCCTTGCCACAAACTACAAGCTGGGTGTTAAAACTACTTTTTCTTTTTTTCTGAGATAGAGTCTCGCTCTGTCGCATGGGCTAGAGTGCAGTGGCATCACCATAGCTCACAGCAACCTCAAACTCCTGGGCTCAGGTAATCCCCCCACCTCAGTCTCCGGAGTAGCTGGGACTACAGGCATGCGCCACCAAGCCCAGCTTTTTCTTTCTTTCTTTTTTTTTTTTTTGTAGAGATGGGGTCTTGCTCTTGGTCAGGGTGGTCTCAAACTCCTGGCCTGAAGCCATCTTCCCAATTCTGCCTCCTAAAGTGCCAGGATTACAGGCGTGAGCCACCACACACAGCCTAAAGTCACATTTAATAACTGAGACATTAGGCTTGGCGAGATAAATATGACTGGCTGCTATCACATAACTAATAAAGAGTGGAAGTGGGGTTCGTATCTCCTCTTCGGCCTCTGCACCCAGTCCGCTCTCCCTCTGAAAGCCCACGTGACACAGATCGTGCAGGAGACCTGTGCTTCACCACCCTTCTTTTTTCAAGTTTGCCTTTGCAAAGCTCATTTCCTCTTATTGGGAAATTAATAAATAGTCATAGTAAAAATCTTTTAAGTTATGTAGAACTCTTCACTGAGGAGTTCTGTAGAAATGTTAAATAGATCATGATTCAATTTATTCCAACATACGAGTTTAACCCAATTTACAACTTACGTATCTTTGGGAAATAGTTTAATGTCTGCAGACCACAAATATTCCAAAAGAAATAACTTCAGCGCATTTAATACCCCAGTGACCAGAATGAATAAAAGAGCTAATTACAACTGTGGAGCGCCGGTCACACACATCCAACACACTGGGACAGACTCTCTGCTCCAGACTGTGGATGGCACCATAGAGTTCTCTCAGTTCTAGACTATGACCTAAGAAATGGGTGTAAAGGGGAGGACTGGCGATGGGTATGACCCGGTTAGGGGCAACTGCAAGCAGATGTGCCTGGGACCTCCAGGGGGCCTGTGGCTTTAAGATGCTGGGGGTCTCTGTCTCAGACCTTCAAGGCCAAAGGCCTGCACTGAAACTTAAGTTCTAAGAAAACAAAGCCTTGAATCTCAAAGGCATCCCTGAAAGGCCCCGGGTGAAGATCAAAGTCTCTGACAAACAATACGCCTTCAGCATAGGGGAGACCTTCCACGCTTGCGGGAAACAAGGATGCACTGAGGACCGAGGAGTCTCGTTCTAGCACCGTGCCTGTGCGTCCCTTCAGAGACAGGTGCCGAAACACTATGATGCCCAAGTTAGCAAGAAATTTCAGGGATAAAGAAGAGCATCCCACTAAACTCCTACCGTCCTCCTTTATGCGTGCTAAACCGATAAATCCCGGCAGGATGGGCTATCACTCAGGATCCGCACCGATGGCAGATATATAACGCAGTGCATAGACACAAAGTTACCACTATTTGATTGTGTCCCCAACACGTGTCAATTAATCCATCCTAATATTCTGAAATCCAATTTATGAGTTTAGAGCTCTTTTGTGCAATAGGCCCAGGGCCTGAGCTATTCTTTATGAATATGTTAAGGTCTTTGAAAACAGTTTTCATTCTTTCTCCCAATCCCTGTGCGGCAACCAGGTCCTGAAAGATCAAATAATGCCCTTTTCCCAAAACCCAATAGGTCTCTTGGGTGCGATCCAGGCACAGGTAGAGAGAAGCTAGCTCAGCTACAGCACCTGTACTGAAGGAAGGGAACAGGTCTCCGAGTTCCAAATCAACAGGGAAAGGGTAACAAAGACAAGTAAATTCCCTCAGTCTCAAGACCTACAGACTACACGATGTCTTTGGAAAGTGATCAATGGGAAGTATTTGATCAGCACACCTTGCCTACATTCTACAACATATAATTATGAAACCTTGACCCAGCCTCTTACCTGGAATTTGGATGTGATTGGAAAGTTGGGTAAAAACTGAAATTGTGTTCCTTGAAAATCTCTGTCCACGTCCTGTGAAATTTTTCTCTTTTACTTCTTAGATAGTTGAGAAGATCACCATAGCAACAATATTCAAAAATCAAGTAAATTGGTCCTGAAATAATTATAGTTTTAATTATAGGTATACAAACACCAAACTGTTTTTTCAGAAGGCTGTGTAGCAGATAACATACTCTCTGAGGGCTCAGTTCTCCCCAGACATTGAGAGAGCACCACTTTTTTGAACCTATCTCTCTTTATACTTTAAATTCAATTTCAGCTTTTTGTTCAAATGCCTTTGGAAAGCAGCATCTTCTTGCCTTTCTCTTTGGCCCTTGTTGCACATGTGGCCTCACCAGTACCTCTGGCCTCGAGATTCTCCACTTTGCAACCGGGAATAAGATGCTAGCTGCATTGTGAGGACTTGGCAAATATATGCCGGTTGGTTGTTTGCCTGAGGAAGGAAAATATATTCTGGATCCTCTCTTAGATCCATTTTTCTTTTCCTCTTCTTTTAGTCCCAGCCCCAGGCCTGCTGTCCCAGAAAGGATGACCCTTGTGCACATCATTTGGGTATTTCTGGGCACAAGTGAGAAAATCAGAGAGCACACCCCAGAGAATTCTGGGAAAGTAAAGTTTGAAATCCCAGCTTGGCTGTGCCTTATTTGGAGACAGCCCAGCTGGAGCAGTGGCCAAGCTCTGTAACCATCCTCACCACTGGATTTATGCCAGCTTGGCCGCTGGGGAAGAAGCACAGATACCACAAAACGTACTTGCAGTGCTGTTGTTTTTATGTGGGCTAGAATTATGTGTATTCCAATAAAGCTGGTTCAAGAAGGGCATTCTTTCTATTGACCTATCTGATTTATAGATTTATAATTCCACGTGGGTGTGAGAGCCCACACTGTGACTGAGAAAAGAGGGGGAAAGAATGAGGACAAATTTCCTCTTTGTCTTTAGGCCAAAAGCGTTTCGATGAGGTGTTTTTAGCGGAAACTGCCTACCTGACAGTGTGCACGCCCCCAGCAGGTTCACGATGTTCTCATGGTTTCCCAGGTGGGTCATCATCTTGAGTTCCGACATGAGCGCCTCTCTTTCGGAACTGTCTGCTTTTTCTGTCAACAAAGGGGCATAAAAAGTGTAAAACTCAAGGAAAATAGGAATTTTCTGTCATTTAACAAATTAAAATTTCCTTCAGTTCAGAGTTAATGTACCTTGTTTATCTAAATTCAAAATTATAGGAGAGAAACCAACATAAAAATCCTATTTGAATTTTGAATCATAATATCCCGTGTTTTAGGACAGAATTTCAAAGACTGAGGTGTAAATGTCGAATCTAATCATGTACCTTTCCACTGGACTTTCCTCCACCTACCAAAATAAAAATCCTCGCAGTGGGCTCTCAAAACAAAGACACAAACAGAGTAATAACACATGATTTTCCTCCACAGTGCAAGTTAACAGATACGCTGAAGACAGAAGCGTACTTTTTTGTTAATTTGTTTGACTACTGGATTTGTTGAAGTCATAGAGAACAGATAGGGGTGTCAGTGAGGGTGGTGGGCTCCAGCCTGTGGACCTCGGGAGTAGAACTTTAAATTTGTCAGTAAGTCCAACAGGAGGAGATCCAAGAGGACTAGTTTCCACTAACCAAGTTCTCAAGAGAGTCATTAACTGGAAATGAGAAATGTAAGTGCCAAGCAGGCTAGAATGCATTGGTTGGCCAACGCATTCTCTCTCCCTGGAGAAAAGTCTAGATAGCTTGATTGTAATCATAACAGTGCTCCGAAGCACAGCACAAGGAGAGTTAGTGAGGAACTCGCAGGGCACCTGTCACTGAGGCCGATGTGTCGCTGCTCAGGGCTCCCAGGGCCAAGGGCAGGGTGTTTGGGTTTCCTGCCCCAGGCCCCAGGCCCCCAACCCTCTGTTAGCTTACTCTTTCTTACAGACATAGTAACTTTCCTTTATATTCAGTGAAGATTTTATTTGACTTCCAGGTCCCTTATTTTGTCCTGTAAGACATCCTAGGCTTTATGGTGGCTTCTCCAGAGTGTTGACATCTCTATTTTGGCTAGAGCGAGCTCTCAGGGGTAGCCTTGTTTACAAGATCTTGGCTTGGGGGTGGGATTTCCTAAGTGGATCGGGACCCCCGAGCACATCACGTGTTCCACTACTTCACGTTTTACAGGGATTGGGGGCTTTTAATTGTCCATGTTCTGTTCCTCATGGACAAAATAGTATCTTATGTCTTACGGCATGCTTAACTTTTTCGAAGCACTTTCATATAGCCTTACCTCTTCCATTCAGTCATTCAGCAAGTGTTCACAGAGCGCCTACTGTGCATGAGGCCCCGTGCCAGGCAGTGGGGAATGACAGATGAACAGGACACAGCCCCTTTCTTCAGGGAGCAAGTAAATAAGCCATCACAATATAGCGTGATAAATGCAACGTGGCAAAGGAATGTAGGGACGCTGGGGAGTCACACAAGAGGGGCAGCTAACGTAGCATTAGAGGGGTGGGGAAAGGGCCACCAACCGTCTAAGCTGAGACTGAAGGAAAACGAGCTAGCTGGGAGAATGCCCAGCGGCCAGGGAGGACAGTGCACACTGAAGGAACAGGCGGGCAAAGGTGGAGACAGGAGAGAGCACAGCACAGCAGACAGGGCCCCTTAAGGTGACAAATTCTAGGGGAAAAAACCTGCAGACAGCTAAGGTGACATTTTGCAAGGGGCTCGGTCTTGCCTGTGGTGTGAGGGAAGGCTTCCCTGGGGAAGTGATGTTGAGGCTGAAGGAGGAGTGGGAGACACCTAAGTGAAAGGGGAAGGGGAAGCAGAAAGATCCACTTGTGCAAAGGCCCTGCGGTGGGGGTGGACAGTGCCCTGAGGAACTGAAAGAAGCCTGGTGTGCTGGGGCAAGAGGTGCGGAGGTGAGCAGCGGCCAAAGCATGCAGGGTTGTGGAGGAAACATGGAGAAGGCTTTCAGAACCATACAGATGCCAAGGGGGGCAACAGTGGCTACAGGCTGCCTGCCTTGGAGGCTGCCGCAGCTGTGCAGGAGAGAGACTGCGGTCAGGGTGGCAGTAACAGAGATGGAAACAAGAGGGTGGACTCGAGAAACACCAACAAGGAAACACTGGGTTTCAACACCAAGCAGGAAGCCGAAAGGAATAGCTGATGGGGTGTTAGCGCATGTGTCAAGGAGGAGCCGCAGATTTCTGGTTTGCGATGGCGTGGAATGTGGCTATGCTTGGCACCCCTTACCCATCACGGAGAGAGCAGTGCCGATGGAGGGGCACGGCTGGGGGAATTCAGTGTCAAAGGGACTTTTGAGACATCCAAGCACTTGGACATCAGAACCTGAAGCTCGGAAGGGAGATGCGATCCTGAGGACTCGGGGTACGGAAGGAAGCCGTGGGTGTGCAGGAAGTGGCTGCAGGGCATGTGGAGGGAGGGGGGGCAGGTCCAGGAGCAGGCCTACGGGAACACCACGAAACAAGCTGGATGGAAGAGGAGGAGCCAGCAAAGGACTGAGAAGGACATGGTGACATGGAGCCCAAAGGAAGACCACATTTCTAGATGGAGAGAATAGTTGATGGGACCAATTATGCTGAAAGATCAACTAACGTGAGTTGATTGCAAAATGCCTTTCGGACCTCTTTGTTGGGAGGTCACTACTGACTTTAGCAGAAGAGCCAGCTGGAGGTGCCCTTGCTGAGTGAGTGGCGGCGACGGTGAGGGGGGAGAGGGGCTGGAGGCCAGCTGGGCACGGATGGAGCCGCGAGTGGGAAGTGAGGACACGGCGGCCCTGCTTTGCTCTTCTACCCAGAGTCTGTGTCGGAATGTAAGAAACAACTTCTGCCTGTAGCAACCGTAGCCCCGAATATGGAAGCTGGTGAAAACTCAACAAAGAGAGAAGAGGTGGAGTTTTGTATTCCTGACTTGTATGTTATATTCAGCCTTGAAGCATGGCTGAAATTAAAAGCAACCCCAATCCCTGTAAAACGTGAAGTGGAGCAAGACATGATGTGCTCGGGGGTCCCGGTACACGCAGGAAGGTAGCCATAAAAGGATGCCAAAAAGGAGGAGGGGTGGGCGGGAAATGGTGCCTCCCATCTTTGTGCATCTTTCTTGACATCGTGCCACTATACTGTACCTTTCAGCATTTTGACTGCAACCTGGATTGAGACTCCTGTTTTACTAATTCCATAAGCTGTTGCATTCATCACTTTTCCAAAAGCACCCGATCCCAGCACCTTCCCTGCAAAGGTAAACGGAAAGTGCATTTTAAAGATTTTCCAATGGAATGGAAATGCTACTGAAACAGCTGGAACATTTCATTCTTACCGAACTCTAAATTTTCTCTTGGAAATTCCCACTTGAGATCATATTCATATTCTCTGAAATCAACGTAGAAGTACTCATTATCCAGTGAGCCCGTCACGTGTACCATCTGCAGCTGGCTTTCATACCTGAATTGCTTCAGAGATGAAACGATGACTCAGTTAGGAATAGGCAGTTCCGCAGATGCAGGACATGATAACGAATTTTTACCTTTGCTTTTACCTTTTTGTACTTGTGACAAATTAGCACGGTTAAAATGACAATGAAGAGAAGACAAAGCCCAATTGTTGCATAGAATGAGATGCTGTCTTGGATGAAAGGGAAGGGACCTGCAACAGAATAGCATCACCCAGCAATGAAATGAAATTCCTGTTTGATATTACAGACCGCTCATTATCATCTCTCACATCCTGTTTCAGTAATCACGACTTTCGGTCCTCGCGAGCACCCTGCATACCCTCCACCCCCCCACCGAAAATCAGGCAATACCCCTATACGGGACAGGTTTCCTTCCTAGAAAATTGTAAATGAACCTGAACCCCTTTTTAAAAACCATTTACTGGGGTTATAAGAATTACATCAATCTAAACCCACAGGATGTACAAGTCAGAGAAAAAAAGAAGTTTGTGTTCCTTCTATGAAGGTCTCCTGTGACGGTAGAGAAGTCAGTTTTGTGCTGCTGGTGATTCTAAACTATCAGCGTAGGCGGCCAGGTTTCAGAATTGTTTAACTTAGGAGGGCTCTAAAAAACAAACCGCAAATTATAAAAGAGCACGGTAAAGGCAAACAAGGAGATTAAAGGAAAGGGAAAACGACAATTACTAAATCTGTTTCTCTAGAGTGGGATCTTTCAGTGGAGATTCCTCATACTGGGAGGTGACGGTTTTCCACGTCGCTGTCACTCGTGAGTCATAACAGTGAAAGTGGAATTCTGCTGCAACCCGCCAGTCTACGTTAGTGGGGAGTCTTGCCTGACTCAAAAAGCCTCCTTTTCTCACACGCTGAACCTATACTCTCTTGGAAAAGTCCCCAGATAAAAGCCAGCGACAGGGACTGACTTCTAGCGGGGAATTCCAGATGGGGGCTATCACTAATGCAACAGCCACTGTTGTGCGTGTACCTGGAGAGTTTAACAGGATGGTTTCACAAGAGGTGCCAACGGAATTGTATGCACAGCACTTGACTAGGAACCCTCTCACGGCCTCGCTCATGTTTAAAGTGCTGCTCGACACCCACTGTCCGAACACCTTTCTGTTAGCCTTTCTACTCCAGACGCCTTCTGTGATTTCTTCTGTGCAGCTGAAAAGAAATGGCAGACAGAGAAGTCAGACCGGTGGGGCTGACATCAGATGGGAAGTTAGGGGTCTGCAGTGAGTTCTAAAAGAGATTCATCTATTATACATCAGAAACAATCTATGTATGACCACTGAGAATTATGGGTGATTCAGAAGGGAAGCATTTTAAATCTTTCATCCTATCTTCTCAAACTGTATTTAAGAAAAAGAGTTTCGTGTTCTTCCATTACAAGAGATGTCAATGTCCTCATTACTTGAGAGACTGGTCTGAACACTTCTTCCAGGTCCAAGATGGCAACGGGTATCCATCCGAGGAACAAGACGCCTGACTTGCCGATGCTTCTGCTAGCACTTGAGGTTTCCCTGCAGAGAACGACACATCAAATAAGCTCATGGAGTATGGTGCTTTCCAGAAATGGTTTCAAAGCCTTCAGTATAGGCTGCCTGTTTACTCCAGGGAAGTTTGTGCTTCCAGGAGGATTTCTCATGCAGGATTCCTTAAGACCTCTGGCTATTCCTTCTTTCCCCTTCGCCACATAACCTTCTGGGTAGGCGGCCCCAGCACCTCTCTGCTGAACACCACATTTCTACTGTTAGGCTCCTCCGGTAGGGAGGTGAGGTGCAGACTTCCATCTACCTGCACACCTTAAAATGATTCTTAGCTTCAGAAGAAGTATCTGCAAAAAGTCCGAGGAAATGTACTCCCATCTTTTTATAGAACAAAGAAATAAAAATTATTAAAACAAATATTCATAAATGGCAGGTACTATGGCCATTCCTTAACATGACCTTTCAAAGCAGTAAGGTCAATAAAGTCATAAAACTAAGGCATATTCAGAAACGATATGGAATAAATCGTTTAGCTTCTAAGGATAAACACAGAAAGAGATACATTAATATGACCAAAGCCAGTAGATATGAGAGTAAAGTTTCAGGACATTTCAGCATACAAAAACAGTCTTGTAGCAACCCTTCTAAGTCATTACTTCGCTCTTCCTGGTTATGATTAATAAAGAATTAAGGAGCTGTAAGATCAAAATTAAATTCTTGGCAATTTAACTTACTTCTTATATTCAGCGTGAACATTTTGGTGAATTCAGCATCATCATTTTCTGCATGGAATATATATTCTCCTGGCTGATGCTTATGGTTGCAAAACTTAGATATGCTGTTTGAAAAAGAATGAAAGACAGATTTAGCCTGATTCTTCCAGGAGATGCTACAGTACATGATGGTATGCATAGGAGGAGCTTCCTTGAGATGCTCCCCGCCTGCTGAAGTTCACTACATGAGGAGGTGTCTGCATTCTAGATCCTTGCTACCTAAAGTGTGGTCCACAGACAGGCAGCACCCGCATCGGTATCATCTGGGAACTTGTTAGAAATGCAATATGCTGAGTTTATACAGAAATCCTTGTGTGGTGTCAGCAGGCTCTACTACCTACTTGGAGCACTCATCAACCACTCACTGTTCTGACATGGATTACCTGACACTGGGGAGTGCCCACCATGCCTACCAGGCCTGTGGGTTGCTGGACATTGCGTGTTGGATAGTGAGGGAGAGGTGAGGGAGCAAGGAGCTCTCAATTATGCCTTCATGGGCTCACAGTAACAAAATTGGAGAGAAAGAAAAAAATTCCCTTAAAACAGAATAAGAAAACCCAAGCCTTGTTCAGAGGTATTTAATTACACCTCCTCTATGTGGACTACTGGAAGTGGGCAGGGAGGAGGAGGAGCCAGAAGGGAAGCCAGCCTTCGACCTGGAGCTGTGCAGGATGTTAAAGACCTAATGACACAGCTCCTGTCCTCAGGCGTACCACAATCCAGGTGGGTGGACAAGGCCTATGTAAGTGGAGTAGGTAAAGCATTACACCGCAGACCGGTAGGTGATCAAAGAAGGCAGAGGTCTGTTTAGATGAGAAAAGCTCAGGGGCTTTCTAGAAGAAGTAGACCTTGAGCTGGATGCTCACGGATGAGTTGGCTTCAGTGAGAGAGCAAAAGGAAAGACCCCCAAGGGGAAGGCCAGGCTGCGACTGAAGGCATGGGATGGGAATCGTGGGGCCGCAGTGGCAGGCACGGCGAGGACGCTCATGAGCAGAGGTGGAGGTGTTGGGAAGCAGCAGAAGGGAGGGGAGATGAGGGAGAGGTGGGGGAAAATGGGTAGAGTGGGGCCAACAGATTGGGGCCCTTGAGAAACAGGCCCAAATAATTAGGCATGATGGGAAAAAGAGGAAGAAAGTGTGTGGCGTCCAGAGCAGGAGAGGAATATCATGGCGGGATGTCAGCTTCGGCTGATGGCAGAAGGAACAGTCTACTGGGGGAAGTCTGGAGGCAGTCGTAGCAATCCAGGAATCCGTTCGTTCATGCACTCAAGTGTCACCGGGAGATCCTATTTGTGGGAGGAATGGAGGATACAATGGCGAGTTCGAAAACTGGGTTTCTGTTCTTACAAAATTTACAGTGGCGAAGGCAGACAAGTAAATAGGCAGCTACAGCAGAATGCGGGAAGCCCTGCGACGGGAGAAATAAAAGTTCGGATTTGGGGTTTCAGAGCATGACAAGAAGAGTGTTGTCTAAGGTAGGGAAAACAGGAAAGGAAGGGAAAGAGCAGGTGTGGGGTGAGGTGGGGTGGGGGGGAAGAAACAGCAGGTGCTGAACAGGAGGCGGAGGGTAAAGGGGAGAACAGATTTCCGAAGAGTCACAGCTTTTGAGCCCATGTCTGTGTGACATCAATGTGCCCTTAACTGCTAAGCCAAAAGGTAATTCCGACTGTGTATAGTGACGACAGAACTCGTTTCCCTGACCTATCAAAAGTTTCAGGCAGTTACAAGCTGAGCATCGAACAGGTTGTTGATTTGCTTTGTTAACAAGAAGGCTGACGAAGGAAAGAGGGGAATTTCCTACCCTCACCTGCTTCTGGACAAGAAGGAAAGAGCTGTTGACTTAGAAGTGATAGGAAGATTGGGGGAAGCCCATCGCGACCCTGGGGCGAGAAGGGGGCGCAGAGCTCCGTGCAGCCCCAGGCGCCAGGAAGGCAGCGCGCAAGCAGCCCAGGAAAAGAAAGGTGCGAGCTCTGGATAGGCAGAGTAATTCTCTCTGGACATCGGCCAAAGGCCCTCAAGAGGAAGAAGAAAAGAGCTAACAAGGAAGCCAGCGCGCCAGCCCCACATGGAAGGCAACGGTCAATCAAGTGGAAAAAGAAAGGGCCAATGCAGCTATTTACCATCATGCAGAAAAAAGGAAAATGTTTTGTAAACTTATTTCCTCCGCAGCCTTTAGTACTGTCTTGACAGAGTGAGGTTTGCCACGGTTTAGGCGAGGCAGTGTCTGAAATATTTTCACCTATCTGAACAATTTCCGGGTAGGAAATTGGTCCCATAAATCAGCGGGACACAGAATCAAATATCCAGGTTGCTTTAAACTGCTTTTTCTTCTGTTTATGACAGTTACCTCTCGCAAGGACAATAACTGCATCGCTGACCCTCTGGGGATTCCAAGGGGAGTAACCAATTTGGGGACTGGGAGATTCAAAACTTCCTCTTTCCCTTCGGGTTTTTCTAGAAAGGACCAGCTGCCATGAGACGGGAAATCAGGACATTCGAGTTCACAGGGAAATAATATCTTGGTGACGAAGATGTGCTGTCATTACAGCTATGGAAAGAATTTTCTCCTCTGTTGTAACCACAACGCAAGTCACTTTTATTTTCCCTTTAGCGCCTAGAGGGGAGGGGTTGAGAAAGGACAGGCTCTTTCCAGGGGGTCGGGGAGTAACTTTACCGTAAAGAATCCTTTATGCAAAGAGCAAGGACTATCAAAGCCAAATCAGAATGCAGAGAGTAATAAAACATGTATCGGGGAAGCTGAGAGCTTCTGAAACTGCAGAACAAAGAGCTGACAAGACTGAAGGTGGCTTTGCACAGCAAAGGGTGCTGCTTTGCACAGCACAGGAACATGGACCAGGAAGCCCTGCGTCCCCACCTGCCTCAGGCTGCGGAGCCAGTGAACACAGCCTGGCTGGAGTTGAATCTGATCTGTTCGAATTTCTGTCCTGAGTTAGAGAAGGAGGGTGTGCTGATGATTTTATATTTCTCTATATAATACCAGGCTCATTTTCATTCGATTTCAGGGGAGCCGACAAGCCTGGGGGCAGGGTGTACAACCGTTAAAAACTCAATAGCAAAGCATGGCACATCTCATGAGGGTCAAAGACACTTTAATTTTTAAGTAACCAAAGGGCAGGTATATATTTCTGTTTTCTTATATACTGGGTTTCAGAATCTCACACTTTGGAAATGAGTTGGTGTCAAGAAGCAATATAATGAAATGGTTAAAAACACAGAGTTTGGAGCTAACTGCTTTTGCGGGAATCCCAGCTCTGCCATTGCCTGGTAGGGTGAACTTGGGCAAGTCGCTTAACCTCTCTGCACCTCAGTTCCTTGTCTGTGAGAGGAGGATAATAATAGTATCTCCCGTTACCGAAAGCTCACAGTCGTCTGCATCAGAAGAACGAGGACAAGTGGTTTGAGAAGGAAAGAGAAGTTTATTATTTTGCCAGCAAAGGAGGAGGATGGAGACTCCGGTCTGAAATGCCATGGTCCTAATAATAAGCAGGAATACAGAGCTTTTAAAGGGCGGCCATTCAGCTTCAGGCAATTGCTGTTCAACTACAGCTGATGATTCTGATCATCCCATCTCCACCCAGGACCTCCCTTTACCAGGTCAGCGGAGCCATTGCCCGTAGCACAAATAATGAAAGATTTACCCTGTCCCTCCCAACCCTGGCCTGAGCCAGGGATGCAGGTTTTAGTTCTCAAAAAGGAGTGCAAGATGTTTTAAAAAGACAGAAAATATTTTTCACTGTTTTTTCAGGCCATTCCCTCTGTTTACACTACCTCATATAGTTGTTAGAGAAATTTTCAAAATAAAAAAGCACTTGTGCATCAAGTGCTTACAATAATGCCTAGCACATAATAAACAAAAAATGTGTGTTAGATTATCATTACTATGAGGCTTATCAAGTCCAGTGAATAAAAAACGAAATTTAGCGGCTGGGTGAGGTGGCTCACACCTGTAATCCTAGCACTCTGGGAGGTGGAGGTGAGGTGGGAGGATCACTTCAGGTCAGGAGTTTGAGACCACCCTGAGCAAGGAAGAGACCCCATTTCCATTAAAAATAGAAAAAATTAGCCAGGTATGGTGGCTCACGCCTTATAGTCCTAGCTACTTGGGAGGCTGAGGCAGGAGGATCGCTTGAGCCCAGGAGTTGGAGGTCGCTGTGAACTATGATGATGTCACTGCACTCTAGCTCCAGCAACAGGGCGAGACCCTGTCTCAAAAAAAAAAAAAAAAAAGACTAAAAAAAAGACTTTACTCTGAGGTATACAGTAAGTGCTAAAATCACATCAAAATAAAAAGAGCAGTGGCTCACCATAGTCCCATCTGCTCTGAAGGCTGAGGCAGGAAGATAACTTGTCGCCAGGAGTTCTAGGCTACACTGAGCTATGATTGTGCCTATGAGTAGCCACCGCACTCCAGCCCAGGCAACGTAGTGAGACCCTGTCTCTAAAAAAATAAAAATTTAACATTTTTTTTAAAAAAAAGAAAGATGAAAGAAAAAAACAAACAAACCCTGAAGTCAGTTTCCAACAATAGTTAAAATAAAAATGTATAAAAAGTAGAATACTATGAAGCCATTAAAAACAATAATGTAGATGTGATATATTTATCGACATAAAGAGATCCTCAAGATATATTTTAAGTGAAAAATTAGGTTAAGAATGGCATGAGCATTTCATGTTTGTATGAAGATCCTTATCTTACGTTTCCATCATGGTGGTTACATAGACAAAGTCTAAAATGTTATCTCTGGAGGTGGAATTATGGGTGCTCTTTTTTTTTTAAAGGTGATTTCAGAAAACAGGAGTGAATGAAGGGTATGGCCTTTGCCCTGAGTGACTGGGCTAGTCGCTAGCCTCAGTTTCCATTTTTCATGAAATAGGATTATGAGAGTGAAATGAAATAATCCGTATGAGGACTGTGCACATTGTGTGGCACGTGGTAAGAGGATCCCTCATTCTCAGGGCGTGGCTTCCTAAGATGTGGCTGATACCTCGCACCCGAGCGGGGGCTTTGGCAGAACAGGAGCCGGGACACTGCCACAAACAGCAGGACTGAACGGGAGCTCGTGGCATTAAACTAGCCCCAAATGTCTTTCCCTCCCTTATGTCTACACTCAAGGCTCAACTCCTTCAAAAAACAAAAAAGGAAAAAAAAAAATTGTCTCCCGCAGGCTCTGTGAGCTTCTAAAATGACACATCACTTGTCGTCCGTGTGAGCCTGCTTTTCTGTTCGTCTGTTCTTCTGAGCAGGACCCTGGCTCGGCGCCCTGAACCGGCACCTGCCACATGGCTGTTCACTCGGTGAGCGCTCAGTTAGTGCCCGTCACCGGCAGAACTTAGCCTCATAGAGTTGGAAGACTAACTATTTCAGGGAAAGGAAAACACAAGGCTTAAGCAAGGCAAAGGAGAGTCTTTCAGGAGGGGTTACTAAAAAAGTGTAACAGTCCAATACAGCTTTTTACCACGAAACGTGGAAAAGCTAAGGTATTAATAGATTTGGTGCTTGTAATTAAGTCTACAGAGATAGGACATCATGCAAATTAACAGGTGAAATATCCTGGAAACTTTTAGCAGAACCGGGATAGCAGGACGGCTGGCAAGTTATAATTTAATAAAATGCAAACACGTAACGGCAAGTCCTGATAAACTTTGCTGTCACATTTGAGGAAGTAAATTGGAGAAATGAAGCTGTGAAGGTGGGAGGCCGAGAGACTTCTGGCACACACACCACGACCACGCCAAAGCTCTTTCGGGAATAATGGTATTACAGAGGCCTTTTGGTTACAGATTAAAAAACAAAAACTCATGTCACTTTCCCTGTAAAATCTTGCAATGTGATTAAAATACTGTACTTCATACACCAAATTCAGTTCAATTAAATCATCAGATCTAGATGGTGGGTAAAAGATAGCTCCCTGCACTGTTCCTTCAGCTTGTTAGTAAATCTAACGCTTTTTATAATAAAAAGCTGGAAAAAAAAAAAAAGCTGGAAAGAACTCGGACTATAATGTAGTCTGCTGTCCCCCATCTCAGTGCAGAGCCTAAGGTGGAGAGGAAAAGACTTGTCAAGCACTTGGGGATGTGTTCACATTTTTCATTCTTTGGTTTTTGTTCAATTTTTTTTTTTTTTT